GCATGTGTGAAACTAAGTTCAATCACATAACCCACCAAAAATAAATCTTTAATATTATTCATCCAGATAAGAGAAGAGCAGCCTTCCTAATTGGTCTCTCTCTTTTCATTCTCTTGCTCAAATTAATCCACTATTCTGCTAGAATTACTCTTTTTAAAAAAATTCCATTGATTAGTGTTTTTAACTGTAGATGAACACAATAGCTTTATTTTACTTGTTTATTTCTATGTGGTGCTGAGGATTGAATCCAGTAGACAAGTGCTCCACTACTGAGCTATAAACCCAGCCCCAGAATTAACTCTTAAAAATAAATCTGGTCATTTGACTCTCTTATACCTACATACATTGGACAACTGCCCTAGATTAAAATTTAACATCTGAACATGGCGTCCAAAGCCCTTCTCAATCTGACCTGAAATGATTTTTGCCAGTATAAGCCTCCTTATTATCCCTGACCTTAAACTTCACCCACATTTATTTTCCAAACACAAACATACCATAGAGTCTGGCACCTCTGTTTACATAGGTTAGTCCCTTGGCCTAGAAGGTCTGTGTATTATGCTATATACTTTTACAAAATATGTATTAGCCTGTTATTAACATTTCCATGTCTTTAATATTTTTCTTCAAAATTATTTTAAGGTTACTGCATGGTATTCCCTTCTATGTGTATGCCATTTTAAAAACTTCTACTGTGGAACATTTACTATAGTTTATTTCCAATTTTCTTTTCTTTCTTTCTTTTTTTTTTTTTTTTTGGTGGTGCTGGGGCCTTGCACATACTGAGCACCTAGGGCCTTGCACATACTGAGCAAGCTTTCAACACTAAGTTATATCCCCAGACCTAAATAAATTTTGTTCTCATGAACTTACTTATTGGTAAGTAGGTTCATGGGAGCATACTTATCCATATTTTTCCTTAGGATAAGTAAAAGTAACAAGTCAAAGAGAATGGTACATTTTGATATCCCCCCCCCTTTTTTTTTTTTTTTTTATTTTTGCAGTGCTGGACATAAGACTCCAGGTACTTACACATGCTAGTCAAGTGCTTCACTTAGCTATATCCCCAGCCCTATTCTTCTATTTTAATAGAGAAAATAGACTATATATGTTTTTTTATTAAATTGTTCATAAGAATGTTGTGCTAAATATTTTATAAATAATGATTTCATGTAACAAGAATAACAATAAAAATGAATACCAGTATATCTACCACTAGTTTAACTTTTAAACACTTAAAAAAAAGTGACCAAAATTTTTTTCTGGTAGTTTAGTTTAAATTGCTGAGTTTGGTGCTTTTTCTAATTTTTGGTAAGGGCATTAGTCTTCTTGTTTTGACTTGTGGATCCATGTCTTTGCAGGGTGGTAGAATGGCATGTATATCTCAGGAATGTGAAAGCTGACAACCTTTATGATTGTTTCTCCATCTGTCACACACATTTAAAGAGGATGTAAAGAATGTATTTGATATTATCCAAACTTGCCTTGACTCAATTCATACTGGTTACAGTCCATAGTGGTTATATGGACATATTCTCTTTGAACCATAACTTACCAATGGCTTACAATAGGCTGAGTTTGCAGCTTACTGGTTGAGTGCTTGTGTAGCATTGATGAGGCCCTGCATTTGATCCTTAGCACCACAAAAAGCAAAAACAAATGACCTACAATAGCAAAAAGGTGGAAACAATCCAGGTGTCCATCAACAGGTGAATGGATAAACATACATTGTATATACACACAAGGGAACATGATTCAGTCTTAAAAAGTAAGATTTTGACACATGCTACATCCTGAATGAACTTTGAGGATGTCCGATTGAATGAAATGAGCAAGATACAAAAGGACAAAATGTATGATTCCACAAATCAAATTGATTCTCAGTAGTCAAATTCACAGAGACAGAAAGTAGAATGGTATAGTGAGATGCTACATAGTGTACAACCAGAGAAATGAAAAGTTGTGCTGCAATTGTGTACAATGAATCAAAATGCATCCTGCTGTCATATAAACTTAATTAAAATAAATGAATTAATTAAAAAATAGATGCAATAGTACTTGTTTAGTGAAAACAGTTATTTTAAGGTTATTTTCCTTGTGGGAGAAAGCTGGGTTAAAAAAAAAAATGGAATGGTGGTTGCCGGGGTCTGGGGAGATTGGGAGACTGGGGAGTTTATGTTTAATGGGTACAGAATTTCAGATAGGATGATGAAAAGAGCTGTGAAGATGGATGGTGGTGATGGTTGCATAATATAAATGTACTTAATGGCCCTGAAGGTATACTTAAAAATGGTTAAGAAGGTAAATTCACCAAATTTTTGAAGTAAATTTTTAAATGTTTACATACAAGTCAGGTGCAGTGACCCATGCCGGTAATCCCAGTGACTCAGGAGGCTGAGACAAGAAGATCTCGAGTTCAAAGCCAGCCTCAGCACGTCGAGGCAATAAGCAACTCAGTGAGACCCAGTCTCTAAATAAAATACAAAATAAGGCTGGGGATGTGCTCAGTGGCTGAGTGCCCATGAGTTCAATCCCCGGTACCCCCACCCAAAAAAATACTTACATACACATAAAAAAAAAAAAAACTACCTGTTTTGATTACTTTAGCTCTTTATGTAAACAACTTCACAAAACAATCATTTATTACTAGATATTTTTTATTTTTAATAAGGTCAATATATGAAATGGTGATTTCATATATTTGTCTATTTCATAGACAATTTCTATATCTTATGTATGAGTCAATTCAACTTATGGTTGTTGATGATATTATACACTATATTGTTTAAGGTCCAAGTTATACATTCTCCCTTGACTTTAGTTCTAGGTAAGTCCACTCCAGTGGTGAATTGCTGCCTTCTTTTTTTATTATGAGATAATAATGATCTATTTACCTTTCTGCTTTGTCAGGAACTAAGAACCACTTTTTATACTGAATTGTAGTGATTAGCTGGTCAAACCAGTATTTCCCTAGAGAATCATTAATCATCATTAAGTAAATAAAATCCTGTTCCTATGCACTTTGATTACTATGGGGAAAATGGCTTGGTTGTAGTTCAGTGTCTGAAATTTAGACTATTGGCCTTAGTGACTTTAAACTGTTTCTGTCCAGGATCCCTTAATGGCACATTTCTTTCTATTTGCTATCACACAGAATCTTGTATTCCATTTCTGCTAAATAATTTTCTGTATCTGTGAGGTTCCTTTAGGGCCTTTCCAAATGTATTTTATGTACACTGCCAGCATTTTAAATCACATCATTTCAATTATATCTTCCAAATTTGGTTTTAAAAAGCCCTGGTCCCATTCTTTGTTTTTGACTTTTAAGTTTAGGGTTTTTTGTTTTGTTTGTTTGTTTTGAACAGTGTCTTGCTGTGTTGCCTAGGCTGGCGTTGAACTCCCAAACACAAGCAATCCTTGTGCATCAACCTCCTAAATAGCTAGAACTACAGGTATTTACCAGGGTGCCAGGCTCTAGGAACTCTTTTATTTCCTCCAGAATGCACAGTTGTTAAGTTCTGTAGTTTCAATCTTTACAATAACTTTTACATCTGATCCATTTTTTCTAAACTCAGTGTTACATTCTCCCATCTTCTTTCTTAGGTCTTCGTAATAACCTACTGCCTGCATTATTGCAGTCTTCTCTAGTAAGTTCTCAATGCCGTTGCCATATCTATTTTGCCAAAGCAGATCTCTTGTTGTTTTCACTCATGACATTTATAAAGGCCTTCCACAAGGCTCAAGTCAAGAGTCTGTGTTCTAATTACCTATTCCTCCAGGCATAATGCAGGCCCTGCCAAACTGAAGTTGTTTCCTCAACATGTCTTGCATTTTCTCACCTTAATACTTTGATTGATATTGTTAGGTCTTGGAAGAAAGTGCTTCTCATCCCAACCCCAATCTCCATCAGTCAGAAATACTTCCCTCTTTCATATGCCACCTCCTTAATTAAACATTTCTTGATTCTTCCCAAAAGTACAATCTCCCAGTTTTTACCTTCCCCTAGACTTTTAAATCTGGCTGTCTCTTGTGGCAAATAACATATTCTTACATTAAATGTACTTGTGTATTTATGTCCTAGACAAGTTCATAAGAAAAAAAAAAAGCTCATGGCTCTTTAATTACTTATTATTCTTATAATTTCTGTTTAGATCAATGTCTTGCATTCCAAAAGTACTCAAAAAGAACTCAATGAATTGAAATTGGCAGAAAGCCAATACTGGCACTACATCCCAATAACTCAAAGAGGGTTTTTTTTTTTTTTTTTTTTTTAAGGGCTATTTGTATAAAAATGTTTATTCAGACCAACAACACATAAACTATCCAATGCCTCAAGTACAAGGGAGTGGTTAGATAAATTAAGGCCAGGCCCAGAATTTACTTCATACTTGCCTGGCTCATAGGAAGTATTTAATATTAGATGAGGGGCATATCATTGTTTGCAACATTATGTGATCAAGCACATATGACATCAGGTTAAGGAAAAAATAACTTTAACAAAACATACAAATTATACCTATAGAAAGCCTCTGGGGTCATGTTCATCAGAAGGGACCAGAGATGGTCACCTCTGTCGCACTACACAGCAATTTAAAAGGCGTCCTCATACATACTCACTTTGATTTTCACAACAACCCAGAGAAGTACGCGCGGGAGGTATCATTAACTCCGGTTTACAAGTAAGGTGACCAGCTACCGAGATCACGAATGATTGACCAATGTGGAGCGAGGATTCCAGTCCCCGCCTCCCAGCTTCAGGCTCAAGGCGGCTTCCCTGCCACCACACGGCACTGCCCTAGCGTTGAGGATATCAGTTTCCTTTTCTTTCCCCGCATTACATTTGCAAACGGAGACCCGAAACACTCGCGTCAAGAGAGGAGAAGGCGCAGGGATAACCTGACCAGCACTGCGCCCTAGGACGGACATCAGGATCTGGCCCCGCGACCATAGAGTCCGGAAGTGCGGACAGAGCGGCGCCAGGCGGTGGCGAGGGTGGGGGTGGGCGCAGGAGCGCCGCCCAGAGCTTCCCAGGACCAGGGAAGGCTGCGCCCCAGCTGGCTGGCGGGATGGCAATAGCGCTGGCCTTAAAGGTGTTCGCGGGGCTGTTGGCAGCGGCTCTGGCGGCCCTGCTTTTGGAGCACTATGGCCTGACTGGGCCGTCCTCTTCACTGCCCCAGCCCCGCAATCCTCAGAGGCCGCACCCGGCGCCGGGCCCTGGAGACAGCAACATTTTCTGGGGCCTGCAGGTGACGCGGCGGGAGGCTGGCGGGCGGTGGGTGCTGAGCGGCAACTGTGCAGAAAGACCCTTGCTGTTCCTTTAGGAGCGCAACCTGCACCTGTTTAGAACCAAACTCTGGCTGCAGGCCTCGGTCAAGTTGTCACTAGAGGATCTGTCTAGTGCTGGCCTCTGCCCAGTCCTTCCGGGGGTGGGGAGTTATCTTTGATGCACTGTATCTCTGCCTTTTCCTTCTACCCGAGAGAGCCACTGGGCCGCCTCTGCCCATACTGCCTCTTCCTGACTCAGATGTCTATCTCTGTTCAATACCTGCTTTTGGCAGATATCCGACATTCACGTGAGCAGGTTTCGTGATCCAAGCAGAGCAGTAGACTTAGAGAAGTTCTGTTCTGAAACTATTGACATCATTCAACCAGCTCTCGTCTTAGCAACAGGTAGGGAGGATTGCCGTGCTATGGTGGTGTTTCGTGGTCCGGATGGCAGAATGCTAGCCAGGATTACACTTGTTCACTTTGGGGGCGTTGGGAACACTATCCACAAGCCATGACCCCAGGTGAGCTCTGTGAGGTAGAGGAGTTGGGACTTCGTGATTTACTTTGCTGATGTATAACAGAGTCAAGGTCCAGGCTAAATGCTTTGACATATTAAGGTTTTTGTCAAGGCGTGAAGGAAGGCTTGTGATGCTCATGTAAGTGTGTTGTTGTCTGCTATGTTTGTGTCTGGCTTTTTTTGTTTTTGTTTTTTTTCTTCGTTGCAGCTGAATTTGAGAGAGGATTAGAGGAAGTTCTTTAAGCAGAAGTTCTCTTGCTAATTTTTCCATTTTCTTCACACATAAGTTAGTTTGATATTTTCCATCATTTGAGGCTTCAAGTGACTCCAGGAACTTTTTCTTCACCCCCCTGATATTTCCTTGATTTGAATTTCCTAGACTCTTTAAATATTTGACCAGGTATTCCCAAAGTGGTCTGGAGAAGAAGCTAAAGGAACATCTCTCCTGTTTACTGGGTGGTTCATCTGTCCCTCACTTTACTGAAACATCTTAGTTTCATTAGTCCTCAGTTAATGTATGGGCCCTATTTCAAGTGTTCTTTTAGTTTCTTAGAAATTTTGGTATGTCATTGTCCAAACTACACTTTCCAGATTGCTTCTTGCTATAAAAATAACAGTTGGTCAGATTACATACCCTGATTTGGGTTGTGGGAAATGGTTGCAATAGATGTTAGGCCCCTCCCAAACTGTTGGAATTTCTTACAGAGGTTTTTCATTTTGTCAGTCTTTTGATGCATTTTGTACTGCTCTCTTTAAAGATACATTGTTTTCCACATCACAGGAGGTTAAATAGGTACTCATTAACCTCTAATAAGCAAAGCTCTTGCTGAGACAATCTTCTAGTTTAGATATCATGGCTTGGTCATAGGTGGACTCACCTATTAAGCTTATTCATGTTATGTACTTTTAAGTATCTTTGTTCCTTCTGTGTGCATTTTTTAAAAAATTGAACTCTCTTGAGTTTATTTTACATTGTGATTCAATTCTTGTGTAAACCTACAGGAGACCTGACAGATGCCAAAACAAAGGAACAGTTGGGATCCAGGCAGCAGGAGGTAGAATGGCAAACTTACCAGAGTATTCTGAAGAAGACAAGAGTCATGGAAAAAACCAAGTGGCTGGACATCAAAGGAAATCATGGTAAGAGTCAAGACCCAGATATAATAAAGACTAGATATATATTTCTTAAGAACCTAGATCCTTCCATTTATATTATAAAATTATAAAGTGGGAAATTGTAACATAAGTTTAGATACACTGAAGGCCACAACTCTAAAACACAGTTATAATATGTTATTTTTAAACTTCAAATGTCACTGTTAGCCTTTGAGATGAAAATTAGTATGGTATTTTTTTTTTTAATTTTTTATTGTTGGTTGTTCAAAAACATTACGTAGTTCTTGATATATCATATTTCACACTTTGATTCAAGTGGTGGTATTTTCTTTTTGGTAGAATAAAGTTGAGGCAAGAGGATTGCAAGTTCAAAGCCAGCTTCAGCAACCTAGTGAGGCCCTAAGCAACTTGGTGAGACCCTATCTCAAAATAAAAAGGGCTGAGGATATGGCTCAGTGGTTGAGCACCCTTGGGTTCAATCCCTAGTAACAAAAAACAAACAAAAAAGAAAACAACAACAACAAAACCCCCTACATTTTGTTAAGTGAAAGAACTAAGCCTATAAGTCTTAATACTGTATGATTCTGTTTATATCACATGCAGGAAAAAGGCAAAACTGTAGACAGCAGGCTATTGTTGACAGGAAGGGAATGGGGAGTGATATTGACTACAAAAAGGCATCATGAGTGAATTTTGGGGGTTGATAGGACTGTTCTGTGTTTTGATTGTGTTCTTGGATACATGATTATGTATTTGGCAAGCCCATAGAACTATACATCACAAAGAATGAATTTTGTTATATGAAAATTTCAAGAAAAATTAAACTGAATGCAAATATCCACAGACATGGAAGAGAAATGGAAAATCCCTTCTCTTTTTTGGATTATCATTGTTACATTAATAAGGAAATGAACTCTTCTCCAAAAGAGTCCTGATAGTAGGTTTGTTTTATAAAGGCTGACTTTCTTATTAGAATTAAGTACTTCATTTGTCCACTTTCTTTGATTATTCATGTATTTTTTTTTACTATCATTTTAAACAGATAATTTTGCCTGGTGAAATACATAGCGATTGATTTGATCAGAAAATGGCTGATTATAAATAGTTCTTTCAAAACAGCTAGGAATTAAAAATTAGAAATAGGATACTTGGCTTACAACTCTCTTTGGTATGTTTACATTTTCCCTTTTTCCTGATCCAAGTCAAATTATTTTTCAATATGTAGTAAATATGTATATTTTAAAATGTTTCTAAGCCAAGCTACTGAATTATTTATTTTAAGTAATTCATGTCAAAAAGACTTGTGATTAAATAATTTGATTAGTCATTTGGCTTTCATAGTAATGTAATTTGATTTATAAGACATAAATGTTTATGGTATGAATATATATTTCTATATGTTAAAATAGGGAAGGAAGCTAGTTTTTTATTGAGATTTAGCCATAACATACAGTTATTCTCTTATTTAACAAGAAGACTGAATTCATGTTAATATTTATTTTGGCCTAAATTGGACTTATAGCTTGTTCTCTAAGGTTATTAGAAATATTGTTGATTTCTGGAAATCAAATTTGATAATTTTAGTTACTGCAACAAGGCAATTAAGCTCTATGGAAAAAAAATGTGTTTCCAGATGAGTGTTCTATGATATGCTTAACCTTAGCCCTCACCATTTGATAACTTCTTTTTTTTAAGTCTTAAGAAAGGGGCTTTGTCCCTGATATAAAAGTGATTTGCTGCTTAGAAGCACTTGGCACTGACCCATATATAGATCAGGCATGAATTCACTGCATCTAGAATCATACAGTTAAAATAAGAGCAACAGCCCAATCTTATAACTTCAAATTTATTTATTTTGATAAATAAAAAAATACCTATTATTCTCAAAGTACCTATTAATCTCCAGAATACTATATACCTTAAAGTTTTCAGATAATCTTTTATCCTATCAAGTTGTTGTTTGTGTTTTTTTGTTTTTGTACTAGGGCCTTACCCCTGCTAGTTAAGTGCTCTACCGCCTAAGCTACATCTAAGGCCTTTTAAAAAAATTTTATTTTGAGGCAGTGTCTTGCCAAGCTTCCCAGGCTGGCCTTGAACTTACAATCTTCCTACTTCATTTGTCAATTTTAAAAAATTATCAGTCTAATTGAGTTCCATTCTGCCATTTTAAGTTTTGTAGAAAGAATTCTTGTCTTTGTTTAGTCATTAACATGTTTGCATTTTTCTTTTTTTGTATAGATGAATACTTGCTTTTTTCTTTTTAATTAGATGCATACAATATTCCAAGTCTGGAGAGCGTCAAGAATTATTACAGGTACCCAAACGAACAGAAGAGAGACAACTATGTAGAGTCTCTTATAAGCAGGATACAGTTAATTCAATGAGTTGCAAGCCTCAGCAACTTAGCAAGGTCCTAAGCAACTTAGCAAGACCCTGTCTCAAAAAGAAAAAAAAGGGGGGGTGGTGGTGTTTGAGTTATATATATCTGCAATAGATCAGTCATTTAATGCAAAGGATTTAAGTGTGTAGAAACATAACCATCTGAACAAAATTCATGAACATGGGGACTGTAACATCAATTTAAAGATGACAAGTTAAAAATAATTGTTTAACTAACTGAATTTATAAAATTAGAGTCGCCATATAACTAAAACAGGAGATTGTCCTCTTTTGTTAATATGAAAAAGAAAAAGAACAAAGATGAAAATATTTTGCTTCCTAAAACTGTCTGCATCTTTGATGGTTACTGTGGGAATGGAATTAGACATTTTCAGTGAAGACTTAATAGAACTTGATGCCTGAGTGATTATTGGGAAAGTAGTGATTAATCACATAAAAGTTTCTTACTTTTATATATCTAGTTCTAGACACCTAAACTTTATCTGAATTTAATAAATAACATTTTGCTAGAAATATAGGTATTATAAAAAATCAAACTGAGGATCAGAAATAATATTAAAATTAAATCTTGCTCTGAGGAATGCTCCCAGAAAATACCAAAGTTTAGAATAAAAAGAATGTCAGCATCATATATTTTAACCTCTGCTTTCAAATAGTATTCTTTTTAGACAGTTGAATTTTAATGTGTCAAAAAATGTAGGAAAGGACAGGGCACGGTAGCACACGCCTGTAATCCCAGCAGCTCGGGAGGCTGAGGCAGGAGGATTTCTAGATCAAAGCCAGCCCCAGCAACAGTGAGGCGCTAAGCAACTCAGTGAGACCCTGTCTCTAATTAAAATACAAAATAGGGCTGGGATGTGGCTCAGTGGTAGATACTTAGTAGACCTTCATTAAATTTTTAAATGATTGATAAGTTCCATTTCACTGAATTCTGATATTTTTAAATATTTAGGGGACTGCTTAAAATAGTCTTCTTTTCTGCTTTACTTGGAGACCTTGTGTTTGCTTATTGATGATTTAGTTTGCATGAGTCTTAGAAACAATGAGAGAAAAACTTTGAAATGTCTTTTAATGAGTTTATCCGTTGTATTTGTCATTTAGTTATTTCTCTGTTAAATCAGTATACCTTTTCAAAGGGAAGCAAAATCTGCAGTGGTATTAGGGACAGAATTTAAATTCCTTCTTTTAAAAATTGAACTAAAACTTCCCTGTCTTATATTTTTTAGGAAGTATTCTGCTGTACATAGGGATGGCTCTTTTCATTATGTTCACAATACTCCCTTTGGCAACTACTCTTTCATCTCTGTGGATGCCACCCAAAATCCAGGGCCTAAGAGACCTTTTAATTTCTTTGGAATTTTAGATGAGGTACAGTAAAATTCTCATTTTTCTTAGTAGCTTATGTGTTTTTACTTTTTCACAGATACATGTGGGTTTTCAAGTTGTCCTAACTAAGCAAGTTCTTACCTAGAAATGTTCAAGAAAAATTTAACTGTGGCAAAAAGTATGGCTAGGAGCTACTGGCTACTTCAGGGCTGTTATTGCTATCCCTATTCTTATCCCAAAACCCAGGAAAGAGGCACCTCACAGTTTATTTGGTGAACATTTATTTAGTATGTAAAATGCAGAATGTATTTTGCAAGGCACAGGGCATACATCTTTGTGTGCTATATGGCATAGTGCTAAATCCTCACAATGGCCAATAAAAGAGAAGGACAACTATTGAATTATGTAAGTTTCTTTTTAAAGTGTTTCAAACAGGCTAGGTGAAAACTATTGCTGGGTTACAACCATCTGTAAAGTCATATATGAGAACTTTTCATTATTTCTTGATACAACAAATGCCAGTTTATTATTTAATGAGCACATGTCCCTATGCAAGATACATATGCCCATGTGTAAAAGTATAAAGGTGACAAGATCAAGTTCCTGACTTCTTAGAGTATTTAATTTAGTGGTGGGTTATAAGACCAATATAGAAGTAACTAGATCAATTAGCAGAATTTACTAAGTACTGAAAGAGATTTGTTATATGAGGGTTCAAAGGAGTTTGAATCAAGGGAACAGAATAATGCCTAATATAATTTATTATTTTAGGCATTTTATTTAATTAAGTTTTATTGTGTTTCCTAGCTACCAAGTATCTTTATTCAGAGTTAATTAACTTATATTAAGTCATATTCCTCAGGATAGTGGGTTTTTTTTAATAAATTATTTTTTGTAGTTGTAGATGGACAACATGCCTTTATTTTATTTGTTTATTTTTATGTGGTTCTGAGGATCAAACCCAGTGCCTCACATGTGCTAGGAAAGCGCTCTGCCACTGAGCTACAGTCCTAGGATAGTGTTTTTCAAGGTACAATTCAAGGACCAGGTGCACGAAAATCAACTGCACTATTGCTAAGTACAGAGTCCCTGGTTTTTACCTCAGACTTACCAAATTAGAAACCCTGAGTAGAACGCTCCAAAATGTATTGTTCTAAGTACTTTATAGATAATAATATATACTTATGTATGTGCACATTTTAAAAATCAATTTTCTGAGATATGATTTACATACAATAAAATGTACTCATTTTAAGTGTCTGAAGAGTTTTGACAAATGGGTATACTGGCATAACTGTGACCATAATGAAGACATAGAACATTTCCATCATCCCAAAATGTTTCCTTGTCTGTCTTCAGCCCCTGTGGAACTAAACCGGTTTTCTATCATTATAGACTAGTCTTATTTGCTCTAAAAATTTATCTAAATGAAATCATACAGAATGTACTCTTCAATATGGCTTCTTATGCTTAGTATGATGTTGCTGGGTTTCATCTATATTCTTGGATATATCAGTAGTTCTTTTTATTGCTGAATAATATTCCATTTTATGGATATATTACAATTTGTAGATGATTTCTAGTTTGGGGCCATTATGAGTAGAGCTGTTATGCACATTTAGTTTCAAGTATTTCTATGGACATATGTATATATTTTAAAAGTTTAGTTTCAATATGTTTTTAATTTATTACCATGTGTTCATTACCAGTACCAGAAGTAACTAGGCCAATTAACAGAATTAGAAGATAGTGGTGATTTCTTTATTTCTTGTTATTTTTTGTTTGTTTTTGTTTATCAAATGGGGATAATACCTGCCCTACCAATAACAGAGTTATTTTAGGATCAAGTGAATTATAATATACATGAAAACAGTTTAAAACTTACAGAGGTCCATTCAGGTCCTACCTGGTAGAATATAGGATCTAGATATTGTGCAATTATAATTATAAAACTTAAGGACTTGTTTAACCTGATGACACTGGATTTCAGTCCTAATTGTCTGAGTCCTAACTGAAGATCCTTCTATTTTTCTTCCATTTCAGAAACAGATGAAGGAACTCTTATTATTGGCCAAGGAAAGTAAAGAGAGCAACCATACAATTTGGTTTGGACACTTTACAACATCCACTATCCTTTCTCCATCACCAGGAATCCGGTCAATCATGAGGTGAAACAAGCTTCCAAAATCCAAACTAATTGTTGCTGTACCTATCTTGCTTTCCTGAAGAAACATTCTTTATTAGTTTGGTATCCCAATTTACTTTTGTTCACTTATTCTGTTTATTTTTCATTGGTTAGTTCGGCTACAGCTTATTTGTGTGGGCACCTCCATACACTTGGTGGACTCATGCCTATTCTGCACACTCGTCACTTCCAGGGCACTTTGGAACTTGAGGTAGGAGACTGGAAAGATAATAGAAGGTAAGGGAATTACCTCACAAAACAAAACTTATCCATATTATATGATAGGCTATACCACTTAAGGAAAAAATTGTGATACTTTTTTTTTTTTTTAAGTAACATAACTTGCAGTCTTTGTCATTATGCAAAAACCTTGTTGTAGCAATGATATTTACCATCACTATGCCATATTGATTCAAGATGAATCCATTAGGAAGTAGTTTTAAACTTCAGTGTACACAAAAATTATAGAGTTTATTAAAAATAAAAATTTCCAGGCCCTACTACTAGAGATTTTAATTGTGTTGGTCTGTCCTTGTCTACAGATCATACTTTGAGAAGCACTAGAACTAGACATGTCATTTTTCCTCTTGAATTTTATATCTACCATTCTAGTTTTTTTCTAGACATTAGTAATTTCAATTCTTCAAATAGTTATTTTTAGTTTTATATCTATTATAGAAAACAACTTATTTACTGGAAGTATATATTTTATTTAAATATTTATTTTTGATATGTAAGTGAAATATCTTTAAGTATAGAACATTATCATTTATTCAAATATTTGTTGAACTGAATATGTTACCTATTTCTAACTACTTTCATTAATGAAAAATCAGCTTTACATTTTAGAAGCTGCTTCCTCATTTTGTTTGGTTTTTATAGAAACTTTGAGCTAAGCCTGTTATTACTTGGCAACTGTAATTACTTTGGGCTAAGACCTGTGTGCTCATGACTGAAGCTGAAGGCTGAGCAGGCATTGCCTTTTGTTACATAGGCTTCTTGACTCTTGGCCAGCTTTTTTATTTCTTCTAAATGCTACAGTTACAAGTTGTAGTGTTAAATTTGAAGCCATTTCTTTTGTTTTTCTTCCCATCTGGTCTTCATTGTTTCAACCCTGAAACAACCTAACCTTTACTGTTCTTATAACATTTAAATTGTATTTACAGTAGAAGATTTTTTTGACAGTATATTAGTAGTATAGGTTAGGCCTTGTTGTGGATGTAAAACAAATTAAAAAATATCAATGGCCTAACACAATAATGTTTACTTTTCATTCCTCTAAACCCATTCTGAGTCAGGGCAACTATCCTCCATGGGGTGACTTGGGAATTCTGACTTCTCCATCTTATATGACCACTATTTGTGTGTGTGTGTGTGTGGGGGGGGGGGGGGGGTTACCAGGAATTGAACTCAGGGGCATTTGACCACTGAGCCACATCCCCAGCCTTATTTTGTATTTTACTTTAGAGACAGGGTCTCACTGAGTTGCTTAGTGCTTCACTTTTGCTGAGGCTGGCTTTCAACTCATGATCCTCCTGCCTCAGCCTCCTGAGCTGCTGGGCATTCGCCACTTCTCCTAGCATAATACCACTATTTTAACATGTTAATTCCAGAGTGGAGAAGAGAACAGAGAACTCACATATGCTCTTAAAAACTTTGGATGGGGGGGCCACAGGGGCTGGGTTTGTGGCTCAGTGGTTGAGCACTTGCCTCGCACATGCGGGACCCTGGATTCGATCCTCAGCATCACATAAAAATAAATAAGTGAAATAAAGGTATTGTGTCCAACTACAACTAAAAAAACAAACAAACAAAAAAACTTTGTATGGGGGCTGGTGTTGTGGTTCAATGATAGAATGCTTGCCTAGCACATGTGAGGTACTGTGTTCAATCCTCAGTACCACATAAAAATAAATTAATTAATTAAAAAGATATTATATCCATCTATAACTGAAAAGAGGTGTTAAAAAAAAAAACAGCAAACTTTGATCAGAGTGTGCTACATGACATTTCTACTCATAGCCTATTGGCCAGGATTAGTCACATGATCCTAATCTAGTACACAGAGACTACGAAATGCTAGGAGGCCCATAGAGTATTTGGTAAGCATTATTGTTTATATCATAATTAATCATTTCTTTTTTAAGTTCTAAAAGAAAATATAGGGGCTACGGATATAACTCAGTGGTAGAGCACATTTCTAGCATGTGTGAGGCCCTGGGTTTGATCCCCAGCAGAGAGAGAGAGAGAGAGAGGGTAGGGTAAGGGGAAGGAGAATATAAAATTTGGGTTACTCTTTAATGAATATTTTATACCTTTCATTGTACATTTGGAAAATCAAAATGTTTTCACTTTAATTTCTTTGGGATTATAGGAATAAAAGTTTAAAGGCTTATGCAACTTTTCTTATTGTATTTATATCCAACACTTTAATATTTTATGTAGCATTGTTGATGGAATGAAGAATATCAGATCTTAGATTTATGATGAATGTCTTAGCTTCAAAATAGTCTTAAAATAATGTAAAATAAAGTGAATTAATTCAGCAAGTATTTAAAAATTAAAGAGTACATGCTATGTGCCAAGAATTGTTTTAGGGCATAAATTCATTGTTTCAATCAGAGTCTACTTGATGTGACAAATGCGAAGAAAAGTGATAAAGGCAAAGGAAGAAAGAGAAACAGTGTTATTTACTTTGTACCCAAATTCATCATGTAAAAACACCATGGTTTTGTATTTTGACATTTGTCTGTCTATAACATTTAAGCCCTCTTATAAAGTAACTAAATTGCCTATCTTCTGTTCTCCAGGTATCGAATCTTTGCTTTTGATCATGACCTTTTTAGCTTTGAAGATTTGATCTTTGGAAACTGGCCTGTGATTCTTATTACCAATCCTAAATCACTCCTCTATAGTTGTGATAAACATGAACCTCTAGAAAGAATCCTTCACTCAACACACATCAGGTACATTGCAATTTTTCAGAAATTACTTGTAATTTGATATTGACAGAGAATAAGTCATTGTGATTGTATTCTCATATGAAAGCTATGAGATATCCAACAAATTTTCTTAACAACCTAAACATTATATAATGATAAGTTGCTTATTATTTGATTCCCCTTCTATTAAAAAATATACAATATTTTAAGCTGATAAAAATCTTAAAACCAACCAGAAACCCATAATCCAATCACCATTTTTGAACATTTTATTGCAGCCTTTTTGTTGCATGGATTTCTATTGCTATGATTATAATATATATATATTACCTTGTAGCCTTCCTTCCTTTCTTTCTTTATTTATTTGCACTACTGGGAATCAAACCCAGAGCCTTATGCTAGGCAAGTGCCCTGCCACTGAGCTATACCCCCAGACCCATATATTCTACTTTTAAAACTTTACATTTTGTATGAGAAATAGTGTTTTTCATTTTGCTACATAGTTTTCAAAAAAAGCAAAAGATGTATAATCCTTATGGAATTGCAAATTTAGTTTGCATATAAAGTTGATGATGTAGATTATAGGATGCAAATGAGATATCATTATCATTCTTTTTGCAAAAATATGTATAACTTTTTTCAAACATAAGGAAGGACATTTTTAAAAATATACTTTTAAGTATTTATTTTGAAAAGTAATCAAAAATAACAATCTTTAGAAAATATAGTAATGATATTATAAGAGTGTGTGTGTGTGTGTGTGTGTGTGTGTGTGTGTGTGTGTGTTTTGCCCACCCCTAATAGAACCATTAGTGTTTCTGAGTGTTCCTATGTTTCTTCATAGGCATTTTCTCTTAGGCATTTTTTTTTTAATATTTATTTAGTTGTAGATGAACACACAGTATCTTTATGTATTTTTATGTAGTGCTGAAGATTGAACCCAGTGCCTCACACATGCAAGGCAAGAAGTTCATCACTGAGCTACAGCTTCAGCCCCTCTTAGGCATGTTTTTACATAATTAATTAATCATCAGAGCATGGTTTAATCTACTTCCTACTTTTTGTCTTTCAACACTGAGAATGTACCATAATTTATGTAACAGTTTCCCTATCTTATTGGTGAACTTTTCGATTTTTTTTTATTTGAGGATAAACACCTGGTACATGCAGATTCTTCCTTCACTTGAATAATTTCTTTATAATTGAGTTCCAGAAGTGAAATTCTAGGTGAAAATTTTCAATTCTTTTACAGGTGTTGCTAAAGATTGCTTGATTACTTTTTACTTAAATGGTAAAATATATGTCATTTCACATTTTCAAGTGTACAATTCAATGGCATTATGTATGTTCACATTGTTGTGCCATCATGATCACTATCTCTAGAACTTTTTTCATTTTCTAAAGCTGAAATTCTGCACTTGTTAAACAGTAACTTCTCACTTTCCCCACAGTAAGATGAACAACCACCATCCTACTCACTACCCCTGTGAATTTGACTACTCTATGTACCTCATCTTTGGCTTATTTCAGTTAATAATGTCCCTAAAATTCATACATTTTGTAGCATTTGTAATACTCTCTTTCATTTTTTAAGACTTAATAGTATTCTACTGTATGTATATACCACATTTTGTATATTTCATCTGTTAATATCATTTTTTGATGATACTGAATATTGCTTCTGTGAACATGAGTGTATAAATATCTGTTCAAGTCTCTACTTTCACTTCTTTTGTATATATACCCAGAAGTGGAATTGCTGAACCATATGGTAATTCTGTGTTTAATTTTTAAAATATTTATATTTTTAGTTGTAATTGGACACAATACCTTTATTTTATTTATTTATTTTTATGTGGTGCTGAGACTCGAACCCAGGGCCTCATACGTGCTAGACAAGTGCTCTACTGCTGAGCCGCAGCCCCAGCCCCCTATGTTTAATTTTTTAAGGAGCTACCATACTGTTTTTCATGGCAGCTACACTATTTTAAATTTCCACCAGCAATGTACCAAGTAACCAGTTACTTCACTTTTAAAAACATATACAAATTTATGGGGCTGGGGATGTGGCTCAGGTGGTAGCGTGCTCGACTGGCATGCGTGCGGCCCCGGTTCGATCCTCAGCACCACATACAAACAAAGATGTTGTGTCCTCTGGAAAAAAAAATATTAAAATTCTCTCTCTCTCTTAAAAAAATATACAAATTTATAATGTTATCAAACAATATGAGTGCCAAATTCACAACCTTCTTATCATTATTGGATACTATATTTTAAAAAAACATTTAGTAGTTAATCTGATATAAATGGTACCAAGCTGTTTACATTTTTGTGAAACTGGAATACATGTATTCTTTTTTTTTTTGGTGCTGGAGATAGAACTCACAGCCATGTCTATGCAGAGCATTTTACCACAAAGCTACAACCCCAGCCTCACCTTTTTAAAAAACTTTGAGTTAGGGTCTCAAGTAAGTTGCTCAGATTGACCTTAAACTTGCAATACTCCTGCCTCAGACTGGCCTTAAACTTGCATTCCTTTTGCCACAGCTTCCCGAGTAGATGGATTACAGGTGTGTAATCATCATACCTGTCAGTCACAGTTTTTGATAGAGTGTGGTAGCCAGCCCTGACTGTGACCTTGCTTCTTCCAGGTAAATACGTTGGGAACCAAATGAGTAGATGAAGCCTTGACATTAGATTGACAAATTGAGATCCCTACTCTATATTTTCTTCCTAAGAGAAAAAAATCAGAACTTTAGGAGTTTATTCAGAAAGAATTTTGAATCTATCCTAGCTAGATTTGTCAAAGATTTTCCTTTCTAAGAAGTAAAAGAATAGTTCTTAATTTCTCACCAATGTAGGTTTGCTGAATTGTACAACTTCAAAAATCTCCAAGAAAGAAACCAAGATCATGAGTGGGCGGCCCCTACAGTTGTGCAACGTGATGCTTCTGCCTATACTTATATAATGTCTGGTTGCAATAGTGTTATTCTCCTTTATAAAAATCATGACAACTACCTGAAAACATGCCTTTTATATGTGCTCTCATTTTAGAGTCTTGGCCTTTTCCTTATCCTCTATTACTTCTGTCACCATTAAGATTGATGGAGTTAATTTAGGACAGGCTATTCATTTGTCTGGTCCTATTTTTATACTGAAGTGGAACCCCAGAAACTACAGTAATGGAACACATAACATAGAAGCAATTGTCCAGGTAAGTTAGTGATTTTCAATTTGCTATGTAAATGATTAGGCTCTTGCCAGAGTGAACTCTTGATTGTGGATTTGTTTTTAGTCAATTGGTACAAAAGCTCAGTTTGATAAACAGTTTAAAAAAAAAAAAACACTTTTTAAAAATATACTTTGTTGCGGGCTGGGGATGTGGCTCAAGCGGTAACGCGCTCGCCTGGCATGCACGGGGTGCTGGGTTGGATTCTCAGCACCACATAAAAATAAAGATGTTGTGTCCACCGAAAACTGAAAAATATACATATATATATACTTTGTTGGCACTGGGGATGTGGCTGAAGCAGTAGCACGCTCGCCTGGCATACATGGGGTGCTGGGTTTGATCCTTAGCACCACATAAAAATAAAATAAAGGGGGCTGGGATGTGGCTCAAGCGGTAGCGCACTCGCCTGGCATGCGTGCGGCCCGGGTTCGAACCTCAGCACCACATACAAACAAAGATGTTGTGTCCGCCGAAAACTAAAAAATAAATATTAAAATTCTTTAAAAAAAATAAAATAAAATAAAGATGTTGTGTCCACTGAAAACTAAAAAAATAAATAAATATTAAAAAAATTCTCTCTCTCTCTCTCTTTAAAAAATATACTTTGTTTAGTATATTTGAAAATAGGCACTTAGAAGTAATTCTATTAGATAGAATTACAGGATGAGAGGAATATGTATTTATTGGCTGCTGTCCCCCCTTTTTTAACCCTGGGGAATCATTCTCTTATTTTCTTCCAACTTTGGCCAGAGGGTTTTTGTTTTGTTTTGCTTTTAAATAATGGGGGTAAATTCCCTGATATATTTCAAGATAAAAGAATAGGTCAAAAGCCATATTTCTCTTGCCAGGACACAGAATTTTCAATGCTGCAAAGTAACTTTTTTGTTTGGGGAATGTGCATTGTCAGCATAAGCAGTAACAGTATGCCTGTCCTTATTCTGGTTCAATTTGGGACACTTAATTCATTAGCATCTACCAGAATAGAAAGTGATAATCGTTACCAAAATAGAATAGCTTCATCAAACTCTTCAGGGGATAAGCTGTTCTCTTTTAATATTCATATTCTTAATTTCTACAGTTTTATGATTTGTTGACAGTTTTTAACCATTTAGTCTTCAAATGTTAAGTCTCAGTTTGAAACACCAAATAATACTTCAAAAACACATGTAATTACTTTATTATCTTTTTTTACTTCCCCCACAGAAATAGGTCCATACATAAGGAACTGTTGTTGAGCTCCTTCTAAGGAGATACCAGACACTTAGGATTTTTTATTTCATCCTCATAATAATTCTATGTAATGGGCAGTTTTATTCTTCGCTAATAGGTGGGAAAACTTGTATGTCTGCATAATGGAAGGCACTTTGCTTTGCCACCCATCTTTGAAGTGTTCTATATAGGAGGAAGAACCAATAGGCAGGAAGTAGGAGGGACGGATGGGAATAAACTCTTATTATATTTTATATTAGAAGTTGGATTAAAGAGGCTTGAAGGTACACATGAACTAGAATAAATTATTCCCTATCGTTAAGTCATGGGGAAGAACTAGGAATAACTATAGGAAAACTGCCCACTATAGGAATGGAAAGTTCCCAAATCCTTGGATTGCTTCAGATTCTCTTATTATTTTTTTTAATAAGATGTTCAGCTTCTGTAGTTTTATAAAGAAAAACAATTATTCATATTTTCTTGAAACACCTGTTTGTCTAGTTGAATCCTTTTAATAATGTGAAATCACCAGTGCCACAAAAAAAAAGTGAAATCATGTGCTTGGCACATTTTTAACATTTCTTACAACATTATTGAGGTATAATTTATGTAAAATAAATTCTACTTTTTAAATTTTATTGTACTTCATGGTTATACATAACAATAGAATCCATTTTTATATAATTATAAAAGCATGGAATATATCTTATTTTAACTAGGATTCCATTTTTGTGGATTTACGAGATGATGAGACTCACTGTAGTGTATTTATATATGTACATAGGAAAATTATGTCATGTTTAAAGTGTACAATTTCATGAGTTTTGACATACATATACATCCCTGTAACCATCACTATAATCAATATGATACATTTCCCTGAAAGTTTTCTTGTGCCCTTTTGTTATCTGCCTTCCTTCTATCCTCATCTCCCAGGCAACCATTAATGTGTTTTCTTAAAGTATAACCTTAAAAACTTAATCTTGCTGTGACACATGACTAAATTAGTCAGGGTCACTCCAGTTAAATTGGGTTGGCACTGAATAATCACACAGACACAGAAAGTACCTTTTTCTTGGGGTTCAGTGATGGCTCCTCTGCCCCAGCTCCCACAAGGAAAGCAAGAGTGGCAGACAAAAGAGAGAGCATACCTGAGACCATCCTGTTTATTGAGGGGAAGACATTCGAGAAAGTTCAACCCAAATACAGCAAGAGATTGGGTTTCAGGGGGTTGCTTGATAATGTCTTGCAGTCAGCGGATTGACTGACATCTTGGAAAACCACACCCATCTTAGGTGCTGTGTGGGATCAAAGGCAGAGTGAGCAAAAAGGACATATAGTTGCATGGCCTAGTCAGAGCTGCAACATCAGTCCAGTTCCGCTCAAATGCTCATAGCTCACACACACAGAGTCCATGTCTGGCTCAAGACAAATCTAATTAAGCCATGCATGGTGGTCTACATCTTTAATTACAGCTGCTCGAGAGGCTGAGGCAGATCATCATCATCACCTACTAAATATTAAGTAGGAAACTTGGTTTCTTCCTTTCCATTTATTAATGGAAAAATTCATGTACTGTTGATAAATATAGTGCACTATTGATAAATCTGATTTGAAATTGAGCAAAAACATCAACTTATTATCTAATATTTTACCTATATCACTATGTTTTTTGAATATGTATAGGTTCCTGGTAACCTAGTAGCAATTAGATCTTTACATCAATTCTCAATGTGAATCATAGATTAGTAGTATCAATATCACCTGGAAACATGATAGAAATGCAGATTGTCAGGTCCTATCCAAAACCTACTGAATCAGAAACTCTGGAAGCTGGGCATGGTAGAGTGCATCTATAGTCCCAGGTACTTGGGAGGCTGAGGCAGGAGGATCACTTGAGACCAGGAGTTTGAGACCACCCTAGGCAACATGTTAATGCTATTTAAAGAGAAAAGAAACAAAAACAGCATGAAACAATGGAAAAAACAACATGAAACAATCAGAAATCTACTTTAACAAATTTTCTATAGGTAATTCTGATGTGCACATGTTTGAGAACCAGTAGTTTAAATTGTTGTGCCTACTTTGCCAATTTAAAGATTTCATTATAGAAGTCTCTATATCTCAAAATGAAAGAAAATCCCAGCTTTAAAACAAGAATTTATCATAAGGTATATTCATTTTGAGCAATACAAATTTGATAAACACCAGTACAAGTTCATTTTTGTTTTTTTAAAGTTTTTAAGATGAGAAAATGTTTTTAAAATATATAAAAGATATAATAATACTCTAATGACTCATAAATGAATTCAGCAAAGTAGTGGAATATAAAATTAACACCCATAAATCAATTGTATTCCTATACACCAATGACGAATCCACTGAAAGAGAAATTAGGAAAACTATCCCATTCACAATAGCCTCAAAAAATGAAATACTTGGGAATCAGCCTAACAAAAGAGATGAAAGACCTCTATAATGAAAATTACAGAACACTAAAGAAAGACATTGAAGACCTTAGAAGATGAAAAGATCTCCCATGTTCTTGGATAGGCAGAATTAATATTGTCAAAATAGCTATACTGAGCTGAGGCTGTAGCTCAGTGGTAGAGTGCTGCCTAGCATATGTGAGGCACTGGGTTCAATCCTTAGCACCACAAAATAAAAGTATTCTATCCATCTACAACTATATTTTTTTTAAAATAGCTATACTACCAAAAGTGCTATACAGATTTAATGCACTTCCTATTAAAATCTCACTGATGTTTTTCATAGAAATAGAAAAAGCAGTCATGAAATTCATATGAAAAAACTAGCCAAAGAAATCCTCAATAAGAAAAGCGAAGCAGGAGGCATCTCAATACCAGACCTTAAATCATACTAAAGAGCTATGTAGCAAGAACAGCATGGCATTGGCACCAAAACAGACATGAAGACCAATGGAACAGACTAGAAGACATAGAGATAAACCCCTATAAATACAGTTATCTCATACTAGACAGAGGCACTATAAACATACATTGGAGAAAAGATAGCCCCTTCAGCAAATGGTGCTGGGAAAACTGGAAATCCAAATGTAGCAGAATGAAATTTAACCACTGTCTCTCACCTTACACAAAACTCAAGGTGGATCAAGGACCTAGGCATTGGACCAGAGACCCTGCACCTACTAGAAGAAAATGTAGGCCCTACTCTCCACCATGTTGGTTTACGAACTGATTTCCTCAACAAGACTCCGAAAGCACAAGAAGTAAAAGCAAGAATCAATAAATGGGACTGTGTCAAACTAAAAAGCTTCTTCACGGCAAAGGAAATAATCCAGAGTGTAAAGAGAGAGCCTACAGAATAGGAGAAAAATCTTTGCCACCTGCAGCTCAGATAGAGCATTAATCTCCAGGATATATAGAGAACTCAATAAACTTAACACCAAATAAACAAATAACCCAATCAATAAATGGGCAAAGGAACTGAACAGACACTTCACAGAATAAGTAATACCAATGGTCAACAAATATATGAAGAAATGTTCAACATCTCTAGCAATTAGAGAAAAGCAAATTAAAACTACACTGAGATTTCATCTCATTCCACTCAGAATGGCAACAATCAAGAATACAAGCAACAATAAATGTTGGTGAGGATGTGGGGAAAAGGGCACACTTATACATTGCTGGTGGGACTGCAAATTGATGCAACCACTCTGGAAAGCAGTAGGGAGATTCCTCAGAAAACTAGAAATGGTCTGATAGGTGGATACTAACACACAAGAAGTTGGGAGTGGGGAGGGCAGGGAGAATATAAATTCATTGGATTAGACAAAGGGCATTGAAGAGAAGGGATCAGGGAGAGGAACAGGAAAGACAGTAGAATGAATCAGACATAACTTTTCTATGTTCTTATATGAATACATGACCAGCAAAACTCCACATCACATACAACTGCAAAAATGGGATCATAATTAGAATAGTTTATATTCCATATATGTGTAATATATAAAAATACACTCTATTGCCATGTATACCTAAAAAGAACAAATAAGTAAACAAATACTAGGAATGGAACTACCATTTGACCCATTTATGCCACTCCATATATATATATATATACAAAGAAGTTTAAATCAGCATACTACAGTGATGCAGCCACATCAATGTACACACAATGGAATATTACTCTATCTTGAAGAAGAATGAAATTATGGCATTTGCCAGTCAATGGATGGAACTGGAGAATATCATGCTAAGTGAAATAAGCCAATCCCCACAAAAACAAAGACGGAATGTTCTCTCTGATATGTAGATGCTAATCCACAACAAGGGAAGTTGAGGAGGGGCAGATAGAAATCTGTTGGATTAAGCAAAGGGGAAAGAAGGGAAGGGAGCGGGAGGAGAATAAGAAAGAGTAGAATTAATCAGATATAACTTTACTACATTTGTATATGAATACACGACCAGTGTAATTCCACATCATGTTCAACCACAAGAATGGGATCCTAATTAGAATAAGTTATGCTTCATGTATGCATAATATGTCAAAGTACTCTCTACTATAATGTATATCTAAAAAGAACAAATTTTTAAAAAAATAATACTCTAATGAACTCTGTGACTCTATCAGCACATCTCAACAATTATCAGCTCATTATTGATCTTGTTCGCCTATACTCTTACCTACTTCTCCCCTCCCTGCACCATGGTATTTCATGTATAAATTACTAAAAGATAAAGACTGTTTAAAAACACAACCATGATACTGTATCACCCCTGAAAAAGTTAATAGTATTCTGTTTTCTCCAATTTGTTACACATACATCCATTCGTTTGGTTCAACTGAGAATCTAGACAAGGGTCATACACTGAAAACTGAGTTGTTTCTGCCATCTCTTTTACTCTGTAGGTTTCTCCCTATGCCCTTTTTTTTTTTTTTCCTTTACAATGTGTTTGCTTTGGAATCTGGATCTTTGGTCCTAGAAAGTTTCTTCAGAATTTTTGCTGTTTGTATCCTTTTGGTATCATTTAACATATTCTTTTGCCTACCCCAACAGTTTCTATAACTAGTAGGTAGATTTAGAAGTGTGATAAGATATGAGTCTTGTTTTTTTGACAAAGACTACTTCAATAGATGTTTTGTGCTTTTATCAGGATGCCTATAATACTTGGTTGTCTCTTTTTGTAACACTGACATTGATCAGTACATTCTAGTGTTTGTACCCTTATCTAATAGTGCGCTGGCAAATATTTAACAACCAACTTGAGATAGGTTATGGGGGTGCCAATTTTCATAGTATAAATATTCCTACCATGATTGGTTTTAGATACCAACATAATGCTAAGTAGCCCATAAAATTTCCTAAAAATTTAACAGTTGGCCCTCGTAAGCCAGTGAAGCCACCTCTAACACACTGCTAACAAATATATATATAGTAGAGCCTCGTAAAAATCTCCATCAATTTTTCATCTAAGGGGTTTTAGCAGCCATCAATGACTTTTGCCAAGTTTCATTTTTTTCTTTAGCTATAAAATGGTGATATTCAAATCTTTCTCTGTATGATAGAAGTATTAATCAGAATAGTCTTACAAAGGAAAAAAAATTCCCTCATCTATTTAGTTCCTAGATATGGAGTTCATAAGAAAAATGCAGGATAAATTCTTGATTCTTTCCCATACCCCACTTTTCTAAACCATTTTTCAGAATAATGAGTTAATTCTTTAGCATCTGCCAAAGGTCACTAAGGGGAATCGTTTACTTTTTGTATCATTATGAATTCTGAGCCTAAAATGTATACATATTTAGATATTTATTTATATATGTTTATTTATTTGATGTTTCTTTTTTTTTAATATTTTTGAGTTGTTGATGGACCTTTATTTTATTTATTTGTATGTGGTGCTGAGAATCGAACCGAGTGCCTCACGCATGCTAGGCAAGTGCGCTACCACTGAGCCACAACCCCAGCCCCTATTTGATGTTTCAATCCATTGCATTTATTCTTTTGATACTCAAATTGGTCCATGTTTGGCTAGTGGGAGCCTCTTCATGTTGACCTCTAAGTTCTTTGACACAATCCTAGTATTCTTAATTAGTTTTTTTTAGTTTCTGGTATAACAAGATATTCTAAGTTCTTCTGCATTTCTTACTCAAAACCTGGAATCAGCCATTTTTCTAAGAAACACTGCTTCCTTTTAGTGAAAAATGCTTTTTTAAGAGTCTATACTAGTTCTGCTAGCTCATTGCTTTTATAGGTTTATTATTACTACTGGGCCTTTTCGGTGAACAGAGGGAAAAAGATTTCTTTAAAAATAAAAGTACAGGGCTGGGGATGTGGCTCAAGAGGTAGCGCGCTCGCCTGGCATGCGTGTGGCCCGGGTTCGATCCTCAGCACCACATGCAAACAAAGATCTTGTGTCCGCTGAAAACTGAAAAATAAATATTAAAAAAATTCTCTCTCTCTTTCTCTCTCTCTTTAAAAAAAAAGGATCTAAAATTCTGTCAAGGGGCTGGGGATGTGGCTCAAGCGGTAGTGCGCTTGCCTGGCATGCATGTGGCCCAGGTTCGATCCTCAGCACCACATACAAACAAAGATGTGTCCGCCGAAAACTAAGAAATAAAGATTAAAAAATTCTCTCTCTCTCTAAAACTAAATAAATAAATAAAATAAAATGCTGTCAAAAGCACTTATACGGAGAATCAAAAGTAAGTGATAAAAAAGGTAGCTATTCAACAAGACAACTGATAAAAGTTATTGCAAACTCTCTTGTCAGTTATGTGCACAATTTAGAACATTATATATATATATATATAAATATGTATGAAGTCACTTCTCTGCTGTGCTTATAACTAGGATTCTGCTGGAAGAAGTACGAGTGTTCACCACATATTTTCTGTTCAAGAGAATATTCATCTCACATTTAATCCCCTGGCATCATTTATTCTCCTTACTGACCACTGCATGGTGGTAAGTGAATTCAATTAAATGTTACATGTATTTTTATTGGATTTGGTAAACTCAAAGTTGTAAATAATATAATCATGTATAAAGAAAGTAGAGCCTCGTAAAATTAAAGTTTAGTTATTTGTCTAGAAGAATAAAATGATTTTAAGTTGATTTGAATCAAAAGAAGTAGAGACGTGAACAAGTAATTTAGTACCTAGTTCTAATCAATGCCATACAACCAGGATGACTAAGGAAATTATAGGTGCTGATTTGAATTAAAGCTTTTAAGTTTAATTATTCACTACTACTAATACTACTAATGATAATATTTTTTGTGTATTATTTTGATTTTAATTATTTGTTTGTACCATGCTGGGAATTGAACCTAGGGCCTCGTTTATGTTAGGCAAACACTCTATCACTGAGCCACACACCCAATCCAGAATTAAGGCTTTTAAAAGAATATTTCTTTTTTAAAAAAAATATGTGGAGGGCTGGGGATGTGGCTCAAGCAGTAGCACGCTCGCCTGGCATGCGCAGGGCGCTGGGTTCGATCCTCAGCAGCACAAAAAATAAAATAAAGATGTTGTGTCCACTGAGAACTAAAAAATAAAATAAATAATAAACATTAAAAAAAATCTCTCTCTCTCTCAAAAAAATTGTGAAGTTCCTTTAAAAGAAAAAATAACGTGGAAAATTGGAAAATTAAGAAAAAAAAGAAGGATCAACTCTACATCATTTTCATCCCACTGTTCATTATAACCATTGTATTGTTATATGCTTGTATATGAGTCTTTAAAGTAAAATGTGATTTTTTTTTCCTTTGGTGGTACTGGTGATTAAACCTAGGGCCTTGTGCAGGCTAGGCAAGGCTTTTATCATTGAGCTATATCCCCAGCCCCTCTAGTATACATTTGTTCTTTTTTGCTATCTGATTTTTTCCCGTTGAGGAATTTGTTTTGACTATTTCTCATATCAATTTATATGTTTTTCTTTTTTTATGGGATCTTGCTATGTTACCCAGGCTGGAATTGAACTCCTGGGCTCAAGCAATTCTCCTGCCTTAGCCTCCTTAGTAGCTGGGATTATAGATGCATACCTCTTTGCCTGACTACATTATTTTATAATGTGATATTAGTTGTATTATGTTAAGATATACATTATTGTATGAATAAAGACCTTAATTTGTTAAGGTATTTTGGACAAGTGACTAAATAGAGGTATGCCTTAGTTAGATAAATTAAGATTTTCCTTAGTATATATAACTACTTGCCTATTAGGGGACATTTGTTTCCAAATTTTCCCTCTACTACATCAAGCCTGATCTAGGTGACTATAAAAAATCTTCCAAAGAAAAATTTTAAAATGACCCCTAAAATGATAGTAATGAAATATAAATGCCCATTAATCACATTTCTTAAAAACTCAATCACACAAGTAATAAAAACAAAAATAATTTCACATTTTAAGTCTGTGAGGGTGTGTCCTCTAAAGCTATCTCAGGATGTATTGCCTCATGCATGCTAGGCAAGCACACTACCACTGAGCCACAACCCTAACTCCCATATGCAACTTTAAATAAAACAAATTATTTTTATCTTCATACAATGAAAGTGAACTATTTTAATTTGATAGTTTAATATAACTATATAAACTACTTATCTCCAATTTAAACTGAGGCAACTTACAATTTTCTTTATCACTGTATCAGATGTTTGATTCTCTTTAATATGTGTGTGTGTGTGTTTTATATATATATATATTATATATATATATATATATATTTTTTTTTTTTTTTTTTTGAGAGGGTATTGGGGATTGAACCAGGAGCCAGGGGTACTTTTTCATTGAGCAACATCCCCAGTCTTTTTTATTTTTTAGTTTGAGACAGGTTCTTACTATGTTACTGAAGGTCTTAGTTGCTTACTAAGTTACTGAAGGTCTTAGAAGCTAAGTTGCTGAGGCTGGCCTTGAATTTATGATCCTCCTGCCTCGACTCCTAAATTGCTGGGATTATAGCCACTGAACCTGGCTACCTATATTTTTCTTATAATCGTTTAATGATGCTGAAAGAAAAAAAGAAACTTGCTTTTCTTTTTTCTTTCTTTCTTTTTTTTTTTTTTGTTTTGGTACCAAGGATTGAACTCAGGGGCACTTGATCACTGAGCCACATTCCCAGCTATTTTGTATTTTATTTAGAAACAGAGTCTCTCTGAGTTGCTTAGCATCTCACTTTTGCTGAATCTGGCTTTGAACTAAAAATCCTCCTGCCTCAACCTCCCAAGCCACTAGGATTACAGGCGTGCACCATGACACTCGGCATGAAATTTGCTTTTCTCTCTATAATTATACAACATTTCTAAAACTAAATGTGTGAATTTTTCTAAACCATATAATTTTCCAATATCAGTGGACACTGAATGGGCCTTATACAGTTCAACACAATTCTGACACTAACTGCTAGAAGTTAGCACAGACTCCACAGGTTACGAGCTTAATGTTAGAAGACTGCCCTCCTCACCACCCACCATCCCCAATACCAATCATAAGTCCAGATGTCACCTGTGCTTCTGACCAACTGGTTATAAATTAGAGGTTCCCACGGCTTCCTTCCTCAGGTCCAAAAGTTTGCTAGAAAGCTTCCCAGAATTCAGGAAAACCCTTTACTTACTAGATTATTGGCTTATGAGAGAAGAATACAACTCAGGAAGAGCCAAATGGAAGAGATGCCAAGGCAAGTTATGAGGGTTGGTTGTGAATTTCCATGCTCTCCCCAAACACATGCCACTTTCCCAACACCTCCATGTATTCACCAACCTGGGAAGCTCTCTGAACTCCTTCAGTTAGGGTTTTTATGGAGGTTTTATTATGTAGGCATGATTGTTTAAATCATTGGCTATTGGTGATTAATTCAACTTACAACCTCTCTCCCCTCTCTGGAGGGAAAGGATGGGGGTGATGTGATCACATGGTTGGCCCACATTATAACCAGCCCCCATCCTTAAGGGCTTTTTAAAAGTTCCCTTATTAACATGAACTCAGGTGTGATTGAAATAGGCTTGTTATTAATCACAGAAGACACTCCTTTTATTTATCATTCCAGAGCTTGTCCAAGAACTACAGACAAAAGCCAAATATAACAAAAGATGCTTTATTTTTTTCTGCTACCATTTGAAAAATCACAAGGGTTTTAGGAGCTGTGGCCAAGATGAAAACTAAAATTCATATTTCTTTTTTTGAATATTAATTTTTTTAGTTGGACAAAATACCTTTATTTTATTTATTTTTATGTGGTGCTAAAGATTGAACCCAGGGCCTTGCACGTGCCAGGCGAGCACTCTACCTCTGAGCCACAACCCCAGCCCTCATATTTCTTATTATATCACAATATCACAGATGTCATTTCCATTTTTGTTAATGAGGCCAGTTTTAAAGTGTTCACTGGAGCTATCCCCATGTATCTAGTCACACTAACATCTTTTTTCTCTGCAGGCCCGGGTCCTTTTTGTGCTGATTGTGCTGATCCAACTCTTCATTCTCATTACTTTTAGGTACCTAGAATACCCAGATCTTAAAGGTTAGTTATGGTTATTTTCATTCTTAGAAGACCTTAAAATATCATATAATGTCCAATTATGAAGTGATATATAACAATATAAATTGTCTTTGCATGAGTTGGTGAGATGCATTCTTCAAAGCATTACTTTTCCCCCATAATGCTCTTATCTTGAAGAGCATCATTATTATTTTTGCTGCTTTATAACAGTAAAATGAAGTTTAGTCAAAATGAAGGTAAAATACAATATGGCTCAGAATGACCAAATATTAATATAAGTAGCTATTTAATATAATTTTTAAATATGAAATGCTTTTAAATAGAAAATAATGTTTCAGATATTCAAAGATAAGGTACTAAACAAAGCCTGACAAAACTTTTTTTTTCTTTTGTACTACAGATTGAACTCAGGGGCTATACCACTAAACTCTATCCTGAGCCCTTTTTATTTTAAGACAGGGTCTTGCTAAGTTGCTGAGGATGGCCTCAAAATTGGGATCCTTCTTGCCTCAGCCTCCCAAGTTGCTAAGATTATCGGCATGTGCCATGATACCCAGCAAAGCTTGACAGAACTTAAATAATGTATATATAATTTTGAATTACATACACAGGGCAAGCTATAGAACAGTTGCAAAAGAGGTGACTTTTCCTGGGATGCTTCCTTCCCCAGGGACAACTGTCTGTCCCTGTTTGTCTTCTCTGACTATATTTGCCAACTGAACTGACTAGCAGAAAACTGTTAATAAGTTAATGAATACTGAAGGGAAATTGATAATCATTTGTTTAGATAGCTGCTAAAAGTTTTTCTGAACCTGTATAGGTGTGGGTTTGGAACACTCAAAAGGCTTTTTGTTGGCTGCTTGTTTCTTCCTAGATAGTATCCCATCAATATATCTAGGCTGATATTTTGGATAGTGGTGCTTTCAATGATCTTTTAGTACAGTGAAGCTCCCTATAGGTATGTTAAAACAGAAAAATAACACATTTTCCACTCATGCTTTTTCTAGTAAAACAAATACTTATAAATATTTCTGTGTAAAAGCACTAATATTGACTATTAGCAATAGAGAGTTATAATCATGTAGGTACATCTATATAACCTTTTGCACCAGTTTTCAACTTTTTCCATTATTCACTGCTTACTCTTTGATTCTATATCTAATGACCCTTCATAGGCTAATAGCTACTAAGTGGTAAAGAGTAATAGTCCTACATTCTTGGTTTGCTTGAAAACCTTTTTCTTTTCATTCCTTGTACTTTACTGCAGTGATCCTCAAATCTGGCAGTATATAACAATCACCTAAGGACATTTCAAAGAAATAGATTCTTAGGCCCTATCTCAGGCCTACTGAATTAAAATGTCTGAGGGAGGGATCTGGGAATCTCTATTTTGAAGAACTTCCCAGGTTATTCTGAAAAGCAGACAGGTTTTAAAAATACTACTTTATATTATAAAATCAAAAATAGAGAAATAGAAGTAGTCATGACCTTTTTATCGGTTTTTTTTTAAATATATGACAATAGTGGAATGCATTACACTCATTATTACACATATACAGCACAATTTTTTGTAACTCTGTATATAAAGTATGATAATACCACATTATGCCATCATACATATATTCTTTTTTTTTGCATTACAATTCTTAATACACATATACACGACAATTTTTCATATCTCTGTTATATATAAGGTATGTTGACACCAAATTCAAATCTTCATACATGTATTTTGTATAATGATGACCATCACATTCCCCCATCCTTGCTATTCCCCTTCCCCCTCCCTTTCCCTCCCACCCCTCTTCCCTATCTAGAAATAATCTTCCTCCCATGCTCTCCCTCCCTAACCCTCTTTGAGTCACCACCCTTATATCAGAGAAAACATTCGGCATTTGTTTTTTTAGGGATTAGCTAATTTAACTTAGCATAATCTTCTCTAACGCCATCCATTTACCTGCAAATGCCATGATTTTGTTCTTTTTTTAGTGCTGAGTAATATTCCATTGTGTATATATGCCACATTTTTTTTATCCATTCATCCACTGAAGGACATCTAGGTTGGTTCCACAGTTTAGCTATTGTGAATTGTCCTGCTGTAAACATTTATGTGGCTGTGTCCCTGTAGTATGCTGTTTTTAGGTCCTTTGGATATAGACCAAGAAGAGGAATAGCTGGGTCAAATGGTGGTTCCATTCCCAGATTTCCAAGAAATCTCCATACTGCTTTCCAAATTGGCTGTACCAATTTGCAGTTCCACCAGCAAAGTATGAGTGTACCTTTTCCCCCACATCCTCACCAACACTTGTTGTTGTTTGTCTTCATAATAGCTGCCATTCTGACTGGAGTGAGATGGTATCTTAGAGTAGTTTTAATTTGCATTTCTCTGATTGCTAGAGATGATGAGCATTTTTTCATATATTTGTTGATTATATATCCTCTTCTGAGAAGTGTCTGTTCAGGTCCTTGGCCCAGTTATTGATTGGATTATTTGGTTTTTTGGTGCTTAGCTTGTTGAGTTCTTTATATACCCTAGAGATTAGTGCTCTATCTGATGTGTGAGGGGTAAAGATTTGCTCCCAGGAGGTAGGCTCCCTGTCCACCTCACATATTATTTCTTTTGCTGAGAAAAAACATTTTAGTTTGAATCCATCCCATTTGTTGATTCTTGGTTTTAATTCTTGTGCTATAGGCGTCTTATTAAGGAAGTTGGGGCCTAGCCCCACGTGATGAAGATTAGGGCCTACTTTTTCTTCTATTAGACGCAGAGTCTCTGGTTTAATTCCTGGATCCTTGATCCATTTTGAGTTAACTTTTGTGTATGGTGAGAGATAGGGATTCAATTTCATTTTGTTGCATATGGATTTCCAGTTTTCCCAGCACCATTTGTTGAAGAGGCTATTTTCCTCCAGTGCATGCTTTTGGCTCCTTTGTCTAATATAAGATAATTGTAATTTTGTGGGTTAGTCTCTGTGTTCTCTATTCTGTACCATTGGTCTACCAGTATCATTGGTGCCAGTACCATGCTGTTTTTGTTACTATTGCTCTGTAGTATAGTTTAAGGTGTGTTACAGCGATATCACCTGTTTTACGCTTCCTGCTTAGAATTGCTTTAGCTATTCTGGTCTCTTATTTTTCCAGGTGAATTTCATGATTGCTTTTTCTATTTCTATGAGGAATGCCATTGGGATTTTGATCAGAATTGCATTGAATCTATATAGTGCTTTTGGTAGTATGTTCATTTTGATAATATTAATTCTGCCTATCCATGAGCGAGGTAGATCTTTCCATCTTCTAAGGTCTTCTTCGATTTCTCTCTGTAATGTTCTGTAATTTTCATTGTATAGATCTTTCACCTCTTTTGTTAAGTTAATTCCCAAGTATCTTATTTATTTTTTTTTTTTGAGGATATTGTGAATGGTGTAGTTTTCCTCATTTCCTTTTCAGAGGATATGTCACTGATATACAGAAATGCCTTTGATTTATGGGTGTTGGTTTTATATCTTGCCACTTTGCTGAACTCATTTACTAGTTCTAGAAGTTTTCTGGTGGAGTTTTTTGGGTCTTCTAGGTATAGAATCATATCATCAGCAAATAGTGCTAGTTTAAGTTCTTCTTTTCCTGTAGTTATTCCTTCAATTTCTTTCATCTTATTGCTTTGGCCAGTGTTTCAAGAACTATGTTGAATAGAAGTGGTGAGAGACGGCATCCCTGTCTTGTTCCAGATTTTAGAGGGAATGCCTTCAGTTTTTCTCCATTTAGAATGATGTTGGTCTGAGGCTTAGTGTAGATAGCCTTTATAATATTGAAATGTGTTCCTGTAATCCCTAGTTTTTCTAGTGTTTTGAACATAAGGGGGTGTTGTATTTTGTCAAATGCTTTTTCTGCGTCTGTTGAGATGATCATATGGTTCTTATCTTTAAGTCTACTGATGTGATGAATTACATTTATTGATTTCTCTATGTTGAACCAACCTTGCATCCCTGGGATGAATCCCACTTGATCATGGTGCACGATCTTTTTGATATGTATTTGTATTCAATTTGCCAGAATTTTATTGAGGATTTTTGCATCTATTCATTAGAGATATTGGTCTGAAGTTTTCTTTCTTTGAAGTGTCTTTGTCTGGTTTTGGAATCAGGGTGATATTGGCCTCATAGAATGAATTTGGAAGTACTCCCTCTTTTTTTATTTCCTGAAATAGATTAAAGAGTATTGGTAATAGTTCTTTAAAGGTCTTGTAAAACTCGGATGTATATCCATCAGGTCCTGGGCTTTTCTTGGTTGGTAATCTTTTGATGGCTTCTTCTATTTCCTCACTTGACATTGGTCTGTTTAAGTTGTGTATATCTTCCTGACTCAATCTGGAATTTACTGATGCCTTCACTATCTTCTATTATATTAGAATTAGAATTTAGGAATTTACTGATGCCTTCACTATCTTCTATTATATTAGAGTATAAGGTTGCAAAATAATTTCTAATTATCTTCTGTATTTCTGTAGTGTCTGTTGTGATATTGACTTTTTCATCTCATATGCTAGAAATTTGGGTTCTCTCTCTCCTTCTCTTTGTTAGCATGGCTAAGGGTCTGTCAGTGTTATTTATTTTTCCAAAAAACAACTTTTAGTTTTGTCAATTTTTTCATTTGTTTCCTTTGTTTCAATTTCATTGATTTCAACTCTGATTTTAATTATTTCTTGCCTTCTACTTTTGCTGCTGATTTGTTCTTCTTTTTCTAGGGCTTTGAGATGTAGTGTGAGGTAATTTATTTGTTGGATTTTTCTTCTTTTAAGGAATGAACTCCATGCAATGAATTTTCCTCTTAATACTACTTTCATAGTGTCCCAGAGATTTCGATATGTTGTGTCTGTCATTTACCTCTAAGAATTTTTTTTTATATTTATTTTTTAGTTTTCAGTGGACACAACATCTTTATTTTTTTTAATTTTTATGTGGTGCTGAGGATCGAACCCAGTGCCCCGCGCATGCTAGGCAAGCACGCTACTGCTTGAGCCACAT